TGGGTAAAATTTGACATTCATTGAAATATATTTTTAGCTTAGAATGTGTTTTAAATTATTCATAAAATGATGACTGAGAAAAAATAGGATAAAAGCAAGCTAAGTTTCAAATGTTCCATAATGAGCTAGGTATGAACCATGAGAAGAAGTCTAGATGATTCATTGTTTTGGATCATCAAAAAATGGGCTACTTAATCAAGCTATTTACCGAGATGGAAATAACTACAAAATAACATGTTCTATCTTGGGCCTGAGTTTGTTACAGTGCCATTAGGTATTAAGCTAAGATGCCACATAGTCAGACCTGGCAAACAGTGTTCCAGGCTCTAGAGATATGCAGGGTATAGACGCATTATGGTGAATCCAACTCTTCTGAGGAATGATTAGGCTGTTTTAGAGACATAAGCATACATATGGATGAGATGAAAGATTGTAAGGCGTGACAGAAATGAAGAAGAGCACAATAATGTCTGAGGCCCGGTGACGCCAACACTATCTTGAATTATAGATAAATAGTTGGGGTGTGTACAGTACGTGCCACAGATGATGTTAAATATTCATCTTGACATAGCACCCGACAAAAAGACTCAAAAAAGGGATTTTGCCAAACTTTCTCCTCCAAAAAGTATAATCATTCAGTCATTTTTTTCATTCACTATTTTTTAAAGAAGAAAATGAATAGCAAGCAACGAACTGATTGAGATTGGCAGGTCTGTACCTGGAGACACTGTAAGAGTGATTATAATTTTCTTATTTAATATTAATTCTATAAAATGATATTTTATAAGTTCCTGTTTGTGTTTGAAGACAGATCTGGAACATCTGTTTGTCTAGGTTTGAAAAACATAGCATACATAGCAAACTTGTTTAAAACTATATAGTTTACTTAAAGAAAAGTGAGGATGTGCAATCCAAAGTTACATACACCTAAAACAAACAAGTATTAGTTTAACACTCTTAACTGAAAATCTGACCAACTACCCTTCTATAAATACTATACGCAATCTCCTTCACTCTTCAAATGTCTCTCTAATTTCTTTTACAATATCCAAACTAAAAAGAAGAAAAGAATAAAAAAAAAAGAGAGAGGGAAGGGTAATGGGAAGAAAGAGGAAGAAGGAAGCAGAAGAAAAATAAGAATAAAAGTAAGGGGCTGGAGAGATGACTCAGTAGTTAAAAGTACTGACTGCTCTTCCAGAGGTCCTGAGTTCAATTACCAGCAACCGTATGGTGGCTCACAACTATCTGTAATGGGATCTGATGCCCTCTTCTGGTGTGTCTGAAGACAGCTACAGTGTAATCATATAAATAAAATAAAAAATAAATAAATCTTTGGAGGCTGGAGAGATGGCTCAGCAGTTAAGAGCACTGACTGCTCTTCCAAAGGTCCTCAGTTCAATTTTCAGCAACCACATGGTGGCTCACAATCATCTGTAATGGAATCTGATGCCCTCTTCTGGTGTGTCTGAGGACAGCTACAGTGTATTGATATACAATAAATAAGTAAATAAATAAATAAAGGAATAAAAGTAAGATAATCCACTCTCCCATTTTTTCTAACATTGTTAAGAAACCAAATTGCACATTGGAAGTAAATAATTTATCTCTTGCTTCAAGGACTTTATATATATATATATTCCTCTGGGTAGGAGTGAGCCTGTTTCTCATTATACATGTATTCATGTATAAGCTATTTCCTTGACTATCCATATTTTTACTGTCAAAGATGTTATTTTTAAAAGTTGGTCAGAAGTAAAATAACAAGAACTTTTTTGTGCCCCCCGTGTGTGTTTGTGTGTGTGTGTGTGTGTGTGTGTTTCATGATCATGACTTTTACTTTGAGATTTTTTAATTTAATGTTCTAAGTAATCCTTTTGGTTTATGGTCCACATGTTGCGCAGCATCAAAGGTTATTCAAACAAAGCCAATTCAAATGTGATATTACTGCTCAGCTACAAGAACAAATTTCAGGTTACTTATATGCAATTCAACTTCTTAAGTGGGCTACATATGGCTATGATAATGAGCCCATTACTGAAAGGAGCACTTTAGCAAAATGTATAAACCTATATGAGATTATGCATCTGCACTGTGCACAGACATTATCTCTCTCTCCCCAAATACCACATGTGTCGTTTTCATGTAGTAATAGGTAAGGAGTAAAGAACAGAAAATCATTATCACTGTGAAAACACCTTTCAGAAGTATTGTAAAATTATCAAATTGATATATGGGATGGGATTATAATTTAAAATCTTTTAATCATTCAAATTATATCCCTTTAATTGATTGGAACCACATTATTTAAAACTGAAATCTACTAAACAAAGCCTAAATTCATTACACATTCTATATTACAGGAAACAAACCCTCAAAATGGCGATATATCTGTTTCAAAAAAATATCTTCACATCAAACAATTTTTTTCAGTTCGTCATCAGTTCTCAACTAACTCAGTATTTATTCTTAATGGCTTGCTATAGGGAAAGATTCTGTAAACTCATAAATAATATTAGCACAAATTTTCTACGAGGAGGCAAAACTCTAACATTTTTTCATGCACCATAAAAATGCACATATAAATAACCCACCAAGCAAATTTTAATGCAAATCTATGTATCATTTGTCACTGAATAAAATTAATTTCTATGTTGAGCACAAGGATAGTCAGTATATCTTTGGAATGGTACAAGCTTCTCTAAATTTGAAATTCATGTGGAAAATAAGCCCACAGCTCTGAGAAGGACAATAAGTAAATAAATATCACAGAATCCAGGATGAGCACAGAGATGAGAGATTCTATACACCAGCCTCCTCATTGGATATGTGAATGCAGGGTCCCAAGCCTTGCAACAGCCTAGATGGCAGTATTGTCCACATCCCAAATTTTCAACAATCCTCATGGAAGAACTGTCACCATTCTGAAGTACCCAAAGACAATCCAATGTCAAATGGATGGCTATGTGCAAATTCAGTAAGAATGTCTATAATGGCTTTGATTCTGACCCAGCAGATTCTAAACGCAAAGTAGTTTTACACCTATGAAATTTAACATTGTCTCTTCAGTCTTAACTCTTTTACCTGTAGGCATACTTTTTTTTTTCATTTTATTACTATGAACTCCCATGCAGATGACCCAGATCCAAAAACTGCCTCTTTAATTTATAATGGAAAATCAGAACAAAGGTTCCAGACATGTCTTTAGAGAGGGGGAAAAAGGAAGAAGGGAATAAAGAAGAGGGGGAAAAGAAGGAAGAAGCAGAAGTCATGCAAGAGAAAGATGGAAAGAAGAGAGAGAAGGATAAAACAGGAGGAGCAGAGGGAGTGAAGGAGTGAGGGAGAAAAGGAGGCTAGATACTATGTAAGTGCTGCTGGTCCAGCACACTGGTTAATTGCATTTGTTTCATACATATCCAAGTACCTTAGTACATTAATTACATTCTGTAACTAATCTTTTCAGATTCCCTCTGTCACTTCCACGAAGCAATTTAATTATATTCTTCCCCAAGACTCTGATGTTAAAAATGGCAATAATTCTACAGTCTAATATATAGTTACATGCATTGCTATGGAAAAATCTTAGTACAACAATCAAACATATTTGGAATATATAAACCTTTGTGTTAGGTTGATATTCAGGTAGTGTTGAAGTAAACCTGTTAGAAATGAAATGGTTATTGATATAATGATAGAAATCACCACAATGTCATTTGAAGGGACCAAATCCTAAGCTTCTACTACTTTGCAGGGAAAGAGAAACATTGTGCACACAAGCACCGCTCCTGGATCCCCTATCACCCAGAGAGGGGCAAATGAACTCATGTTCTCCACAACTGAAAACAGCCACTTGGCAGTAGGTATACTCATCTTCTGTATTGCCTTGTGTTTATAGATAGCCTTCCTTTGAGTCTGATACTCAGGGTCTATATAGCAGCTGCCAGGACCACAGTTGGCTCCTACAGATGGGCAATAATAGGCAATGTCCCAAGTAATGAATTCAAAGGAAAGTTTATGTAGCAACATGTTCTCTTGATGCCTTAAATATTTGCATTAATATGCCTCAGATTCTCTATAAGCATTAGAAATTAAAGTTATTGCCATGCTCAGGGTATGGTGGCTTAGTCCGTTCTTCATAAGCACTTGTCATTGATATAAAAAAATCAATGTCCCTAGAAAGCGAACACCAAATATGTTTTACTTTCAAAGAAGAAACCCATAGTATATTTACAATTATTAATATTTCTCATTCAAACAGCTACAAAAGGATTGGGTCATGATCTTACAAGAACCTGAAATTCAGTGAGGATATCCCAGGAAACTAACTCTGAACAAAAGACTGGAAAAGCAGAGGTTGAAAACTGCTTGACAGAGTGGCACAGCCTAGCGGAAGATACCTAGAGCACCTGTTCTGAGTCTCCATTGTGTTTGCCCACTGGGGACCCAGCTGAGGGCTCCCAGATTGCAGCCAGCCCAGAGTGGGTACTGCCTCCTTCCTGGAGCCTCGCCCAGTCTCACTTGTGACAGTTTTCTCTCTGTGATCTAAATCCTTCATTCTGATTTTGCACTGGGATAGCATTCACTGACACACAAGTGACAGACACACTTTGAACCTTGAGATACCTGGCATCAAATCTTCCTCATTAAATGCACCTTCAAGTATCAGCTACTATAGTTCTTCAGTTGAATGCCGAAGCCAAAGCCAAAGTTTAGATACCAGAACAAATACCAAAGACAGAGTAGCCACATCCATTTTGGGTTCTTTCTTAGCATCTTTTTTTAATAGTTACTCTTCGAAGCTGGGAGCCCATCACTTATTGTAAAACTCCTCAATTAGTTAATCACAGTAACAACAATAGCTGACTATCTCATGTTCCACTAGCAGCAGGTTAGAAACAAAAGACAGAACCTCTGCCCCTGAAGAGCTTGTGTATGGCCAAAACACACTACTTTCTTCAGGAGCCCCAAAAAATCTCAGAAAGAAAGGAAGTGTTTTAACTCACCATCAATCCGAATGCAGAGAAATCCAAAGAGCAATAGTAGTGTAAACATCAGAGGATTCATTTTGACATATGAAAAAGGATCCAGGTTGTTTAAGAAACCAATCCCAGAGAGCAGAAGTACAAAAATAAGTATCAAAAAAAGAGGTAGGTCCGAAGTTTAGACTTTCCTAGAGATTGATTAAGGTCAAGAAGAGCAAAATGGCAACATAGGAAGCTGTTGGTGAAGAGGTCTGACACGGGACACGTTAGGTGCCATCCGAATGAACCCAGGGGACTCCGGAGCCGCTCTACTTCCACAGGCTGGCTTCCTAAATTCCCACAAATTCAGCCCAGCTGGCGGGACTATTCACGTGCGTCTAGCCCTGTCTCCTTAGTCTCCATTGCAATCCAAACACAACTTCTTTCTTCAGAAGTCAAGAAGATAATAGGGGACAAAAAAGACCTAATTCCTAGAAAGTGTTCCACAAACTTGCCAACGCGCTGCGGAGCAACCATTGGCCTGCCCACGGGGTTTTCCTCTCCCCTTGGTCTCCTCCGTAGCAGCAACACTTCGCGGAGTTTTGTTTTGTGTTGTTCTGTTTTCACTTAACTTCCATCCTAAGGATGTGTCAAAGCAGCACTTTGTGAGCCGGCCCTCTCCTCCGCAGCCTGGTCGCCTCCCTCGGAGCCGCTGGTTTCCAAAAGGAAGGAAAGGGGGAAAGCAGGACGGCTTGGGTGGAGAATGGGAACTCCTACGTGGTGAGGGAGCGAGGAGGAGGGCGAGAAGAAGAAGCAAGGGAAGAGGGAGGGGCTGAGCTGAGGCCGCGGCCACCCCGGAGGGGCCGCCCCAGAGAGATCTAGCGTCCAGCTGCTGCGGGCGAGCGCTGCCAGAACTAGGAGCTCCAGACCGGGAAGCCCTGAGGATGCTAGCGCGTGGTCCAGCCTCCAGGAGCAGTTCTGCCTCCAGCCCCTTTCGGGACAGTCGCTGCTTAGGCGGCGGAGGCTGTGCAGCGACCGCTTCCTCCTGCAGCTGCTGAGGGCTGGAAGGACTTGGAGGAGGGAAGGCGAGGAAGCAGGAGAGGAAGGGAGGAAAGAGCTGCTCCCAGTATATCCCCGGGAGGGGTTAGAGGGTGGAGGGGTGTACCCTGATCTCCACCTCCACCCAATCACCCTCCCATGCAGGGGACGACAGCTCGCACCGGGGTCCGCGGAGCAAGGGTAACCCGGCAAGCGATGAGTCTTATGGGGGACGGAAATGAACCAATGTGGAGCCGCTGCGGGCTCGCTAGGACTGCGATTATAGCCATCAACTCTTTCCCATTCTGGGAGCCTCCTGGGCGTCCCCCTCCCTCCCTCCTCCGGAGGGGTGAGGTGGGCTTCCAGCCTCCCGCTCTTCACGCGGCCCGTTTAATGGGCAGGTAATTTTCTCGGTGAGTGATTTCATGGAAGCCCTTCCTAATTATTCATCGCTCCGTCTGCCGGAGCTGCACAAGAGCTTTTCTAGAAAAAAAGATGATCTTCCCGGACCCCGGGCACAGCCTCATTACCTGTTAAACACACACACACACACACACACACACACACACACACACTTACTTCACGTTTTACCAGAAAGAAGCTGGGTAACAGGGAGGGCAGGAGAGGGACAAAGTACCTATTGGAGTAGAAATGTTTTGTGTACATATATCCTATGTGGTTGTAAGTGAACCAACCCCCACCCCCACCCCCACAAAATCAACTGTGAGGGTGTAGGGAAGGGGGTTTCTCGAACCTCTTCCGCTTGTTTTAGCCAAGATCTATGGCTAACTACGGAATCCCCAAGAGATTATAGGGGAAGGATTGGCATCCGGCTAATGTTGCTCGGTTGCCTTCTGACCTCTGAACACTCAACTGACCGTAATTCGGGACCTTGTGATAAAAGAGACTCTAGGATCGAGGATCAAAAGACTTGGAGGAAGTGGTTTTTTTAGAGCCTTCGATCTTTTTAGGACCTCTAAGAGGAAATTCGGAAAGCAGCCTCTGATTTAGGAACGCTGATAACCCAACTAGGCTAACAGGAGCTCGAGAGGAATTTCAGCCCAAACATGATAAAAGGGAGTACATTCCAAAGCAAAAACTACCGAATGCATGCTATTAGGGATGGAGACAGTTAGGGAAGGCCACTTTAAATCAGACGCCTGCCCCTGGCTAAGGTGCCCTGACGTGGCCGTTGTGGCCGGACCCACGTGTGATCAAAAGCTTTGCTTGGTAGCTGTTTGATGCTTGTTCAGGTGATTATAAAAGCGCCTGACAGGAACTCAAGCAGGTCCCTGAGCAAAGCCAGCCTCTGCTTGGCGAGTCTTTAGTTCCCCCTACTGGAAAATATTAGGAAAGAAACTGTATTTGAGAACATTTGAGGAGCCTTTTGTTTGGTTGAATGCTGGGTGCCTCCATTGCACTTAGTTCTCCTTTGCTTATAATGAGAAATGGAGTGTTCTCCCCCCGAAATGGCCAAACGGCATTTAGGCAAGCAATTAGGAGTGTTCTCTTGGCATTCCATCAGGCTTGTTCACGATGGCAATAAAACTGTCGTCGGTCAAAGGACTGAACTAAGCCACACTTCTCATGAAGCATCAAAAGTCATTTTTAGCAGTTTTGAAGTACAATCTTTACCCATAAATTTAAAAAAAGAAAGTACTTTTCTTTTGTTTATTGTGAAAGATTGACTCCAAATTAGCATCGTATGGAAAAAAGAGAAAAAATATTAACAGGAAACAAGTTTATGCTTTGTAATTCAGGACCACTCAAGACAGGAGTGTTTGACAACACTATGAAAAAGAAAAATCCAAAAATGTCCTGGATTAACATCTGTTACCTCTCCAGGATGCTAGAAAATACTTGATGATTATTTAAAACTTTTGACTTGGAGACTGTACTAGGTTTTAAGTCAAGTATTGAAAAAAAAAAAAACAACCTGTCCTGTTCTTTTACTCAAGAAACATCTCCTCTAATCTCAAGCAAATTACATTGCTCCTGAGTTCAAAACATTTTTTCTCTCCAAAAACCACAAGTTCTATGATGATATTCTGCAAAAATTAAAAATCAAATAAGCTAAAAAGGCTTTTAATTTTAAGGAAGATCTTGGAAAAGAGAACAGACACGTTCTGTTCAGGAGTTTTCTTTTGGCTTCCAATTTAACTACTTTTCAATTACAAGAGAATTTCTTTAAATAACATATCAAACTATCCAGGAGTTAGAACAAGTGGGTTTGGAGAATCAGGGGAAATGGATTGGAGAGCATCCACCCAACAATTCCTCCTGTCTCCTGGAGTAGAAATTGATGTACTTTTATCTCACAGAAATGTATTCATATGTACAGTATGAAAGTGACTTCCACAGAGGAATTTTATTCATTGATTGTATTTAAAAAGTCAGTTTTTGCCAAACATCAGTAGTTTATATTCACAACTACCTTTTAAAAGTCACAAAACAAGGTCAATGATTTTATATTGATGTCTTTTGTGTGTAAAGTATTTCTACTGAGAAATTAGGTTTGAAGCAAAGTTATCTGGGAGTGTATATTTTATATTTTTCTTGAAGACAAATTTGGAATTGCTTCATAAAAGAATGTTTTGCCAAGATCTCTTTTGATAATGTAATGTGTCTAAAGAAATCATGGTATTATATCAATGTTGTTTAAAAGAAATTGTAGAGTAATAACAACAGCTTGCACATTAAATAAGCAACAGTAAGAGGTCCTAGGTTGAAGTGTAATGTGGGTGATACGAAGGCCAAGAGAAGCAACATCATCATCTTCTGCAAAATTTAAGAGACTATGTGCTGGAGAGATCACACTTCAATTAAACTTGATATGCTTTTAGTGAACATCAATTATAAAAGTGAATTATTTGTTCTTGTTATTTTTACTTCCTTTGTAGGTAAACAAATTCTTTAAAACCTGAACCTTGTAATAGAAACTGGAAAATCCATTTTAGCATATGAAGAGGGAAAAAAAGGAAAGAAAGAAAGGAAGGAAGGAAGGAAGGAAGGAAGGAAGGAAGAAAGAAAGAAAGAAAGAAAGAAATGAGACAGAAGAAAGAAAGAAAGGAAAAAGAAAGAACAAAAGAAAGAAAGAAAGAAAGAAAGAAAGAAAGGAAGGAAGGAAGGAAGGAAGGAAGGAAGGAAGGAAGGAAGGAAAGAAAGAAAGAAGGAAGGAAGGAAGGGAAAAGAAATTGCTTCACTTCTCATTAGGGAACCGGTCTTAAAGTCAAAGGCTACTACCTATTTATAGGCTGTTCACATGGATTTTTTACTGTGTAAAATTCCCTTAGCATACAATTTTCTCATATCAAATTTAAACAAAATATATGGATCATTACCTATAACAAGACATCAGGCAATTAAAATAATGTGTAAAAACTCCTGACCAGACAAGAATGATTTGCTTGCTCCTGCATTATTTTGTTTTATCATATTCTATCTTTCTCCAGAAAGATTCTGAGGCAGACAAGTATGAGAAAATATTACTCTTCTGATATAAATTGGAAATTTCCAAATGCAATTAATTCATTTTGAGATACTCGTTAATACTTATATCAAAATATAATAAATCTATCTTATACAAAATATATGCATGTGTATATGACTAGTATTTTGGTTCATTCCATTGAGTTATTTAATGACCTTCACTTCAGCAATCTGAAATATGAGTTGATTGAAATACAGCAATATTTGATTTAAAAATAATGTTTTTGCCACATATATGCCACATATTTTCAAGAGAGAAGAATTTTTCACTAGAATTAAGTTCAAAAATAATTTTGCTCTTGATTTGAGAGTTTAGGAAGCATTCAAAACTTAACAATTATTTTTGAATAAATAAAATATAGCTAATAGCTTATAATCCTGAGGCAGAACTTCTCTTTGCATGAAGAATTAAAAAACAGAGTAGGTCAGGAAGATATGACTGTGGTGGCATAAACAGTGATGTCCAGCAGGCTATGGTGAGCATCATAGCTACACAGGTCCCTGCATTGTTCTTGTAGAGAACCTGTGTGACAACATACAATAGGCATGTGTCTTGCCTGTGAACATGGATGCCTCTGCTTCTGCAGCACAGCTCACAACTAAGTCAGCATCAAAGATCCTTTGTTCTCCAGCATTGCTGTCAATGTGAGATGGTTGTTCCTTTTACCACATGACAGCAAATAGGAAGGTTTTCTGGAGCCTTTTCTCTGTTACTGTGCATAATCTAAGACCAAAGGAATCCTGGCATTGTACTTATGTACAGGCACTATTTTTAATGTGCTTGTGTGTGTGTGTGTGTGTGTGTGTGTGTGTGTGTGTGTAATTGTCATAGGAAGTTATGTACCATCATTTGGCACATTAAAAGACCAATGGAGTTAAGTGAAAGAAGAGATGAACAACACTGGTGAATCAAATCTGTGTTGCTTGAGACCTCTAGGAGTATGTCAGCCCTCGAGGATCTGTGACCTGCTACTGCTTAGCCTCAGGCCTGTCCGGTGCTTTGAAACATTCCCAGACCATGCCATTTTAGAAAGTGTGCTATAAAAAAATCATGAAACAAAATTTACTTTTTAGTTTGTAAAGCCGCAAATGAAACAGAAGCCCTTTTAATAACCTAAAGCTATATTGCAGCTCATTGATGAGACTGGACCTTCAGTATGTTGGTATAAGGTTTCACACAGTCACCAAACATGAATAAAAAAAAATTTCGAGACCAAGGCAATGACCCCTTGGTTCGTTTAGGCTAATGCCTTTATCATGCATGTAAAGTTACCCACTATTAAAATAACAAGTGCTCTGGAAGTAACGATTCAGTCACTGACCATGAGAGAGTAGAAAAGTGTGTGTTAAGATATTTTTTTTTTATTATTTCCTTTGTGAGATCTCAAATCCTTATTTCAGTACAGTGTCTAACTGGAGAGAAAAATAATGATACACCTTTTTTAGGCTATTTTTATAGTGCAATTTTGCAAAACCATGAAAATC